TTGAGCAACCACTGTCCAAATACCACTCATTTTTCTTGGAGACTTTCAAATAAACCTATAAATAAAGATATTCAAAATTGACATTTTGGTACCCATACTTGTTTGGGTCCTAACAAGTTAGTTTTCACAAATTTAGGAATCATGTTTGCATTCATATTAAAAAACTTAACACACGAGAAACAAACAACATCATGGAGGAATTTATTTCTTGGACTAAGTTTATGTATTCTATTTTCAATAGAAAAATTATTTCTTAAAAACATAATGCACGAATTTATTTCTTGGACTCAGTTTGTTTAGAATAAATTATTTCTTAAAACATTGTTAAATTTTATATTTTGAGAAAATTTTCTTTCGGAAGTAATGTTTTGAGAATTTTTCAATTTAAAGCAATTAGGTCAAATATGACCTTCAACACCACAATAATGACATATAGGCACAAATCTAGATTTATCATAATACAAATTCGCATGTGTTAGACTTAGACATAATGGAAGATGCTTTAACAAATATTGTTTTAGAACTGGAAGGTGTATAACATTCCCTAATCCTCTTTTATCACCATAAGACTTACCTGCTTCAATTATTTTATCTAATTTTTTAGCACCTATAGTTAACTTTTGAATAGACTTTTTAGCATTACCAAGTTCTTACACAGTTTGATTCCTTTTCTTTGAGTAATTTAATTAACTTATCTTTTTCACAACAATCATGCACAAGAAATTTAATTTTATCAATTAAGGCAGTTTTCTCATCACAATCAAATACATGCTTTTCACAGGATATATCAAATTTTACAACATTATCGTTATTCTCTTTTAAGCAAGAAATTTCATTTAATAAAAACTTATTTTCAATAATTGAAGCCTTATATTTCTTTTGAAGCATAACATATTTTGAACCAAATTTTTCTAAATCAAGTTGCATCTCCTCAAAAACTTTAAATAATTCATCGTAAGAAGAAGATTCAAGAATTACCTCGTCTTCTTCATCCTCTTTGTTACCCCGAGCCAAGACTTCATCTTCTTTGTCACTATGAGCCATGAAGCAAAAATTTGCTACTTTTTATCAATTACAGATTCATTTGCATACATTTTATTATGAGCTAACATGCTAATTCTTGTTTCTTTAACTTGATTTGTTCCCTCCTGAGTTACTTCAAGAGTTTTCCAAATTTCATATGCAGAACACATAGATACTCTATTAAATTCATCATTACTTAGAGTACAATAAAGATAATTTATAGCACTAACATTAAAAGAACATTTTTTTATATGAGGTTCATCAAATTCATTCTCTAATTTAAGCTTCTCAATATCATTAACCGTTTTTATTGGAATATAAGGGCCTTTACTAACATTTAACCATAATTGATAATCAATCGATTGCAAATAAATTTTCATTCTAGCTTTCCAATACGTATAATTAGATCCATCAAAATAAGGAGGTCTAGAAGTTGATTGTCCTTCACAAAAATCGTTTTTAACCCATAGATTCGTCATAATCTCTAAAAATCAAGTTTAAAAAAATCAATAAAAGCAACACACTCTAATACCAATTGTTAGATCGATGTGACAACCTTAGAGGGGGTGAAAAGGGTTACAACAATGTAATTATTAATTTTTTTTTCTAATAACAATAAAGCTTACGTAGTAGTTTTATAGTGGTTCAGTCAAACTCGACCTACTCCACTCTCCAAGCACCTCTTGGGAATTTGAATAAAACTTCCTGACTCTTTGCTCGGATCAGAGCCCAACCGCTACTCCACTCCCCAAGCACCTCTTGGGAATTTGAATAAAACTTTCTGACTCTTTCCTCGGATCAGAGCCCTCCACTCCCCGAGCACCTCTTGGGAATTTGAATAAAACTTTCTGACTCTTTCCTCGGATCAGAGCCCAACCGCTACTCCACTCCCCAAGCACCTCTTGTGAATTTGTATAAAACTTTCTGACTCTTTCCTCGGATCAGAGCCCAACCATTACTC